CTGGGCTTGGAGGATCGTCTCCTTAAGGAGCGACCACTCCCCTTGGACACCCGGCTCCCCTCCCCTCTGAGTCTTCAGCGCTTCTCCATCTATCCTCCTTAGCTCGTTGAAGTTCACCCTCCTAAAATCTAGGGCCACCACCTGACTGCTTGCCTTTGCCACCTTGCACTGAATGGTGAATTCTAGCAGGGAGTGGTCACTGTCGCCCAGGGGGTCAAGCACCTATCACAATTTACACCAGCTTCCTTTGAGCTATGCTAGTTTTCATGATATGAGAACTTAGTCTAATCTTATACAGAACTTTACAAAGGTGGGCATCATGATTATTCTGGGAAACAGAGCACAGATAGTGTCAGTGTTTTGTCCAAGGTCACAGAATCAGTGAGCTACACCTATTTCTATCAGCCAACGACCCGACTCAGAGTTTTTCTGATTTTTCAGTGCATCTTCTTGAATATGAAAGGCCAGAACTGAACTTAAATAGAATATCCAAGCTCAAAAATAGGGCAAGTCTGTCGGCTGGTTTTAATGGAGTTCCATACAAGATACGCAGCTCAGCAAACTCTGTGTTTTCATTATCATTCGAGGATGTAAGTGGCAAGGAGGTTACTCTTCCTTGAACAGCAGTCTGTTTTCTTTTGAGTAAAGACAAGTGCTTTAATTACCATTCTAAGAAATATTTCTCTAACACTTCCTCTTGAGATCAGGGATGTCATAAATTCAGCTCAGTGAAGGAATGCCAAGGGTACTTGCACTTACAGTTAGATTCATGACTTTGCAAAAAAAAATTAAAAAATAGGACCTTCTTCTCACTCAGCTATCCACACCCTGTGTATGTTTAAATGATGTCAGCTGACTTCAGTGGAGGGAAAAAAAAAGGCACCCTGCTAAAGCAATGGGAAGTGAGCTGGTTTCCATTTTGATTCCTGCCTAGTTACGATGAGAGAGTAGTAAACCTTGGCTTTCTGCTCTCAGCTGGAGCTTCCAGTGATGGCAGTTAGAAAAAAGAAAAGTCTTTCACTCGGAAACTATGAGCTGGCTAATGTTTGTACTTTAGGACTGAGGATTACAGGACCAAATAATTAACACCTGGCAAAGGAATTGCTATATCAGCTCTCTGACAGTCAATGGAGTTGAAGAACTTATGATCACAATGAATTTGGCCAGTAATGCACAAAATAAAGGCCAAAGTATTATCCATTTGATGTGTAAGAAATCAAAGGCTCAGAACCAACCACTGCACACTGTCCAAGATAACCAGTTTTGCACACAGCTTCTCCACAGAGGTAGGGCACGTTTCAGGAGATGGAGGAGAACCTCCGTGTACATCCTCCACAGGCAGACAGGAGTCTGGAGAAGGCCTCCAGTAGTGTTTGTCCATCCCTTTCTGCATGTGAAGGATCTACAGCAGGGGTGAGCAATACCCAGCCCATGGGTCAAATCCAGCCTCTAGCACATCTTCCAGCCTGAAGGGCTCCCTATGGGCCACAGCCCTGTGCACTAGATCAGGTGTGCACGGTGATGGCTCCTCAAAGCAGGCAGGGGCTGCATGAGGCCTCAAGGCCTGATCCTGGCACATGGGGGGGCATACAGGGATTGTGTGGAACCCCATCAGGCCCACAGACCAGTCCCATGCCATTAACCTGGCTTGCAGGGCCAAAGTCTTGAGCATCACTGATATACAGAGTAGTCCTGAGGCCAAGAGTCCAAACTCTCAGCCCCATCCCTCTGCCATCTGCCTCCTCCATCCTATCCTGGCACAATGGTGCAGAGACTGGCTCTGGTCTGCAGTAGCTGTTGTGTAGTGGGCAAGTGCAATCCTTCTTCAGAGCCCTGAAGGCCTGATCCTGGCACATGGGAGTGGCACACAGTGGTTGTGTGGAACCCTATCAGGCCCACAGACCATTGTCCCACTGCTCC